CCTTAAAACAGCGGAGGCTTTAGCTATTCATGAACTAAGACCTGATCTGTGTGTACAAAAGAAGTATGTGCAGTCACTGTCTTTATCATGGCCATAACATTTTCCCACCCCATTAGCTCCCCCTCCCACTCTGTTAATTTAACCTTTGTATCCTTCCTTTATCACTATTATTGTTATTATAATCGCCTTCACTTCAACTAGTTTCCGGTGTTGTTTCACTTAATTGTCTTAATCCTTTTAGAAAACATTGACTTCATCTTGTCCAATTTGTCTAATGCCACTACATAATACTTAATTGATTTACCATTTTCAACAATTTTTTCACCCCCTTCTGAGTTATATACTCTCCATACACCATTTCATATATTACATAATCTATTTGTTATCATTCGCACTTCAATTGTTATTATAATCATAAATGCCTATGTCATCACCCGCTCTCTTATTATTGTCATTACCATATAGTGTTTAGTTTTCCTCACAGGATATAATTTTTTCCAAATACCATATACATACGATTGTACAGCTTGAAAATAAATTCGTTGAAAAGAGTCTCTTCGCTGAATATCTTGTTCTTGATTTTACAATGGGAATTTTTTTATTGTTTCCACTCAATTTTTCATCAGATATGCGTCGGTTGTGAATATTTCACATACGTGAAACTTCATATGTCTCTCATTGAAGTATTCGGCGTTATTAAGGTGGTAGATTGGCTGTTTTTTGTCTTCGATTATACGGGTTCATGCGAGATAAAGAACTAGAGAAATTTGTTGCATAGCAATATTATGGATATGTCGGCGTTAGGTAAATTGTTCTCCCGGATTTGATTGTTTATACAGATTTCCTCTGTATTTGTCACGGACCAGAATCGGACACCAGTTACTGTGCAAGAGGCGTCGTATCTGGTATTATTTAGGGTACTAGTAGGCAGGTCAGTTGATTGTGAGGCTGGTCAAGAAACAGGAAATCGGGAGCAAGCCAACCGAACAATTCCGACAGTATTACGAAGTGGGGTCTTTAGTAAGCTGATACTTCTTGATCGAACTAATGCTTAGAACTTTCTCGTCAGGCTGATGCTGAAAAGAGAAAGAAAGAGAATGCGCAAGGAGAAACTGAACAATGGAACACCGCGTAAATCAAACCGGGAGGGGAGAAATTCTTATCTTTTTAGATTCATTCGAGCTATATGTAAACTTTAATTTGTTCACACAAGAATAACTCTTCCTTTGTTTTCCTACATGAGGTTCACGTGAGTTATTTTTGATAAACTTAAAAAGAACACCGGTTACGCATTTGCACTGCACAATCCAACCAGATGGAGCAGTAATCAAACACCGTTTGTGAGTCCATTGAAGTAAAAGGTGCCTGAAATTTATGATAGCCCTACTCTACAAGTTTAAAGGTCTCAGCATTTTTTCATTAGCCCAGAACGTATGAAAATTGCCTAGGCGAGTGATAGGCTCATCGTCTGTTAGGAGCTTACTAAGTGAAGAACGAAAGATAGATAATGAGCCTGCGGTACGTATTTCCTCAGTAAGTCTATCCCAGAGGTGAAAGAACTTACTGAGATAGAAGTTTCCCCGCAATTCGGCCTCACAACACTAGTTTTCAGCTAATAGATTGTGAATACGTAAACACTGAGTAAATGTTACAACTATTTTAATTTCTGGGCACATGAGTGCATTTGCTTACGAAGTAAGTTATGGTAAAATATAAGATTCATCCTAAGTCGCCTCTCAAAGAGGTCCCAGTCCCAACATGTTGCATCTCGAGATGTAGTCAAGGCTGCGGCCAGCTCCTAACGTTCTGAATGTAAATTGGTGTTGTAACCCTTCAATTTTTCGTTCTTCCCTTATACGAAGGCAATTTACAACAAATCGGCAGTATTCTAAAATTGGACGGCTGAACACTTTTTAAAGTAGGACCGTTGATTCAGTGCTATAAAAGTTACGGACGATCCATCCAAGAAGTCTACGTGAACTGGATGTGATACGAGTCGTTTGTGGGGAGAATGTCAAGTCATCGGAATATCTAAGACCAAGATCTAGCACTGAGGAACGTCTGGGTAGCTTTTGTCCACATACTCCGAGAGGCATCTAGGTTTTCACCGCCTATGCCAAGCCCACCACATTTATCAATATGGGGCCTGAGATGGGAGTTGTCACACCATTCGGCAACTTCGCCTAATTCTTGTTACGCAGTAGGTGGCATATTGCTCAGTTCATGGGTGTGACATGAGTACACAGCCCTAAGGTCATCAGCGCATGGGAATGCTTCCTCTGCAGTGAAGTACTTGCGCACACTATTAATATTAGTTATAAACAACAAAGGACACTACCCTGTAGTACTCCATTAGTTATGGGCCTAGGTTTAGACTGTATAGAATTTGCTTTGATGACCTTACTACGGTCACAGAGAAAAGATTTTAGCCAGCGAAACAAAGGGTCATGAATGCCAATTGATTGTTGCTTGCCAAAGAGTATACTGCTTAGGGTCTTGTCAAATGCCTTTGATATATCGAAGTATGGAACGATGACGATTTACGTGCCTCGCGGCTACCAGTGATGAGGTTGAAGAAGTCGAAACGGCAAATAACGCAAGGCCAGTGTTTAATGAAACCGTGCCGAGACTTTGTAATGAGGCCTTCTCTAAGCAGGTAGTCAGAGATGCAGCTCTTAATCACCTTTTTGATAATTCGAAAGACGGCTGGCATTATATTGGTAGGACCGTAGTTACTAGCATTCGCTTTGCCACCAGATCTGTAGCGTGGAACCATCAAGCTAGTTTTCCACTCACTGGGGTGCTCCACACTTTCCACTGACAGTGTGAATATCTTAAGCAAGAACAGCAGCATATCATTACTACTGTTTCTGGATGCTGTTGAGCTTGGGCCATCCATCCCCGTACCTGTCGATAGTTTCAGGCTTTTGATAGCCTCTATGATACGTTTGACAGTGAACTCCACTTTAGTACATGAATTAGTATTATTTGGAGTAAAACCAGTGGAGTTAAAAGTATTGTGGTTGAAATTTGCGAATGATTCACTAAACAGCTCACTAATCTTCAGAATATCGTTGTTTACCATTCCATTATGTAGTAGGCAGGCTACAACCATTGGTGGCTGCAGGCGTTTGCTTAAAAGAGATGTCAGTTTGTGTACTCTGGAGCCACTTTTAAGAGCGACGATCTATTCTTTTACTGCGTGTTCCGCTCGTAGTGTCTTATTAGATTCGTAGGTTTCGCAAATTGAGTGCAGTGACGTGAAGTCTTTTGACGAGTGGTATTGTGAAGATAATTTTTTAAGTTTATCGCGGAATACTTTAGGGATATATTGGTCTGGCTCCTTATAAACCCTAGCTATTTTCACAGGAGCGACAGTATCTAGACAAAGCTCTATACTTCTGTAGAAAAGGAGAGTGTATCTGTTAATGAGGCTGTCACAAAGTCGTTATCTCGTGCACAGCACCTAAGAAGCTCAACGAGTACTTCCCATTCTTTACTCTAGTAGCTTCGACGCTGGATATAATTTGAAGATTGTTTGTTTTTTCTCATAAGGAGGAAGGATCGGTAAGCAACAAAATACCATCCCGTGGTCACTGTTAGAGAATTCGCTACTAATGTGGGTGGTGACAGGGATGATGCCATAGCAAAAGACTAGGTCCAGTATGCTGTCGCCATGCATGGGTTGCTGGATGTATTGCCTCCAGCTATAGCTGTCTGTGACAGCAAGTATTTCATCCAAACGTTGTGGGCCATGACCGGCCTCCTAGTCAACTTCAGGTAACCTAAATTCACCTGAGAGCGAGATCAAACTCCTGCTACAGAGTGTGCTCGGTGGAATGTCCACCCGGAAGAAACAGCTACAGCTACACCAGTTGACTCCTTCATGTGGCCGCTGCATGAGCACGTGACTGCAAACGGCTTGCCACAAACATTCGTCGGTAGCAACTTAAGGTATACTCATCCACACATGCACCCCCTAAACATGGTGCCTGCAGTAGGAACCGTCGCTTCTCTACATTATAAGCAACACCTGTTTCTCTATAAGTACCTTCACTCCACTTTTCTCAGTGCACCGTTTCTAGTGTTACCTCTTACGTAACGGTTGTTACTTACTTGCGAGTGCTTACAAGAACGGGAACTGTACAAGGTTATTTGATCTTATCGGCAGCTCCGTCGCCCCTCCTCCAAACGAACCTACCGTCTGTAAAGGAAAGCTTTAAAGTAGACAACCATGCCTCAGAAGCTACAAGCAGGTAAAATACAAAGACTTCTGCAACTACCGGAGAAGTGTGACCGAACAAAAAGAACCGAAAGCTCAAATCTACAAGTTTCCTCTACTGGCGGTACCGATGCTAATTTTTGACAGAAATAGTTGTTGGAAACCTGGAATAGTTAGTCAGGTGACAACCCAGCAAAAAAACTCATCACGGAGCTAACAACAGGGTCACAGATAACATCAGTTCACCAAAAGTATGTCCACTATGGAACACATCAGCACAAGAAATAGCTAAGGCTCCCACAGGGGAGTTTTCGGATGAGCACGTTGACGCACTCATCAACCCAAAGAGTCTCTGAATTCACAGACTTGGCATAACACTTATATATTATCACCCGACCAGCTCCGTAGTCTTGACGTACCAGTGACACAGTAATACTATTAATAAATAGCCCCATGTTTCTGTTTCCTACCAAGCATTGATCTTTTTTCAGTTGCCTACTGCTTGGTCGAGACGAGGTCGGATAACCTCAGGCTCGCATATAGAGAAGACTTACAGAAAGTGCATCAATCTTTTAAGCAGACCTGCAGTTTCACAATGTACCTAGTTTACAACATGTAGAGAGAAAAAACTCGCAAGCATTCCTATTCCTGATGCTCGAGGCAGAAGCTCAGAATGAACTTTAGAATAGACAGGCGAAGTGAAGTCAAACAAAAATAACCTGCTTCGAGACCCAGGGGTGAAGGTTCAGTGTGCTTCACCAGCCCAAAAGGTAGTGGTATTCTGCCGGCGATTTCAACACTTGCGCTACTCCAGTTATAGGCAAATGCCACCGTTTGCCGTTATTCTTTCCATAACAGTCCTCTGCTTTTTAATGCATCATGGCTTCACTATCATATTTTATATTCTCACTGCAATACTGTCTTTTATTGTTGGGTAATGCAAATGAAACATTTAGTGACGCTCTGTTGTAGTATCTTTTTGGTGAAGGAGCTACCAACTGTAATTTTCCGAAAAAGAGGTCTCCTATTCTCTAAAGGAATCCCCAAGGTTTGTTTCTAGTTTCCACTATTCTCCAGGTCACTGCCATAATGGATGCAGAAGGGGTCTCAAAGCCGAATACTCGTTTATCCCGCCATCAGGAACTAGATGACGTACTCAACCAGGTAATTTTTCATGCTTTCAGTGACTTTCAGATTGTGAGTTTTATTGTTAGGGATTATATCACTCCATGGTATAACTCTCTAACTCCTGATAACACATTTCCAATGGAACTTCATAAGCTCCTTCTGTGTGTTTTTGCGAATATCGTTAGAAGGTAGGTACCTTTTGGTAGTAATATATTTCTACTAGAGTATCAGAAGTTGATTGGGTACCATTTCTCACTGAAACACTTCCTTCTTTCATGGCAGCTCATGTACGTGTGTACAGAACTATGTTAGAGCGTAAAGCTACCTATCCGGATAAAGGTAATTTTCCTAATCTCTTTCGACTGCGAACGTTAGATGCCGTAAAGTTGTTTTTTGATATAGAAGCGGAAACGGAGAAAAATGTGTGTCGTGAGGAAGTCTGTTGTTCTCAGGACCGGGAAAAAGGTTGATATGTTATTGTGTTTAATTCTATAGATCATCTTCGTTTGTTGAGTGATATGTTCTTATTCTTTGTAACTCCTGCTGAAGAATATAGAGTGCCTGTCATACGATATGTTGCTAGAGTGAGTTACTTTTCTTTCTAACGTTTCAGGAGTTATTGGTCAACTCTGTGTTAATGCCGACAATCAATTTGCTGTCCGATCCTGACTTTGTTAATAGAACGATAGCATGGTTTGTAAGTCAGTTAGACTTGATACATTGCTCTTGCAGCTCATTTTGTATCATTTCGTTTGTTTAGTTTTTAACTCCACAGTATAATATTTTTTTCCTGATGAGTAGTATTTTATTATAGATTACTAAAATTGACGAAGTGCAGAAATCTAGCCAGATACGTGTTTGTGTGATTCGTATGTAAACGAACTAGATTTACAGTTTCTCCTCTGAATAAGGTTTCTTGTCTTTTATATTTATGTTGAAATCCATATCACAATACCTTTAAACTCTGAGACTGCATTCTTTGAAACAAAGCGGAAGATTTCCATCTTTTTGTTTCTTTCCGACTTGCTAACTGACTTGATTTTCGTTGATACCTAGCATGTGTTTTGTCTATATTTAATAGTCATTGAGTGCATTTGAGTATACAGAACAATATATGTTCGGATTCATTAATTATGGGATTAAGGGGGGGGGATTATTCTTATATTAAAACTAATGATAAAATATAGATGCATTGGGGACAAATTTGCGCACTTATGCTGCTTCGTCTGTGAAGTGTGTTAGTACCATACACGAAAGATCACTGGGTGTAAAGATAAGCGCTATAAGTAGCGGATTCGTGAAAGTTAAAAGCTCTTGTGCTGTATTTCAGACTTCATAATGTTATTTGCAACTTGGTGTTTGGCACATTTGTATAAGCAGAGAATCTTAAGCCAAGAAGTAAACGTTCGGGTTAAGGGTAGCCGAATAACATTTAAGTTTCCATACAATAAATGCTGCTCATTGTATAGTGTACAAACCTACCCCTCAGAAATGTAAAGCTCTTCATAACGCTGCCAAATAATAATAATAATAATAATAATAATAATAATAATAATGGTAATCTCTTCATTTCAAATGATATGTCTGGTAAGGTATGGCATTTTCAGCATGTCGTATTCCAACAAATTCACTCTTAGTACAATATTTCTAGGGAAAATGATTATTGCATCTGAATAATGTGAATGATAACAGTTTGAAGGCAACAATGTGAAACAGTAAGCTGGTGTTTAGTCGACATCTGGTTTGGAATGGGAACTGAGTAGGGAAGCAAGCGTATTTGGTAGTGTTAGTTCAATCATGCAGTAAAAATACCTAGTTTCATCTAAATAGCCTAGGTATGGTGATGTGTTTTTGTGCACTTAAAAGTCCATTTCCATCTATTGTAGCCTTTTTTTCGTTTTGTTGTTGACTTGAAAACAGGTAGTTGAAATAATTTTAAACGGTACAACAAATGACCAAGAAATAAGAATAAACTTAGAGTGGCCATGGCTCACATAAAATAAAATGATTAGTTCATTCAGGATTTATCTCTGAATCAATTTTAGCCACTTACTAAGCAAATTCACTGCATACTAGCCTTCTCTAACTGAGACTTCATATCGTCTCCGTTAATTTTTTGAATTTAAAATACTCAAGAGTCCTATCGTTTTCTGTTTGTTAGTTTAATTGAATTTAACCCGACTTTTCTGTTTACTTTTCCATAAAGTTCATTTGATTACAATTTATTCCGTTATGTGTCGATTCAATTCACTAAAAGTAGCCAGTTAGGACGTTATGTTTCGCGGATTTGTATAGTGTAATGAGAAATATTATGCATTTGTTCAATGAATTTTGAACATTTTGTTTACACATTTATTCATCAAGACATTTTATATGAAAGGTGGTCTTCGGCAAAACAATATTTGACAAGTAGATGATAAAAAGAAGAAATAACGCTCCTTCTATACTAGACAACATCTTCGGGTTTTAGATGATCTATTGTCATGTTGAAGTTTAATCCTTTTTCGAGTACTTTCATCTCAGCTGAGCTTAAGGTCCTCGAGGCGAGATTGACCACCCATTTTGTGCTATCGATGTTTGATGATGTTTCATTTGTAATCTGATTATTTTCCGGGGAAAATATGATGCTTTGTGAAACGTGCTTCAGTTTGTGAAAGTTGTATGAGTTTATTGACTAACCATCGAAGAGGAGGACCATACATTTCATTAATATGAATGTAAAACTTCCAAACTAACATAATTTAATTCCATATTCGATTTTTTTATTTGATTTATATGTATGAATAATAACGACAACATGAGTAGGAAGGAGTTCACAGCCTCCATTGTTACTCTATAAGGAAGGAAGGTAGATCAGAAACTTTACGTAGGATTCTCAACAAGACAGGAATTAGGATACCATTTAAACCTACAAACTGACTCACAGATAAGCTTTGTCGGATGGTTTAAGTATCCGATTGATTCAACTAAGCAAAATCATCTACTCTATCAAACTCCATATGATAACTGTGAGTAAAGTCAAGTACATAGGTCAAACTAGTCGATCGGGGTTAGTTAGATTGGGGGAACATAGGAATTTAGCTAAATATAGAATAATAGACGCGAATAAGATCAATAATGTAGAAGGCAACTCGTTTATTGCGATGCGTGCATTAACACACAACCACACAATAGGGTGGGTGTGATAAAACCACTTCACTCAAGTTCAATATAATTAGAGAGATTGACTACTAAATCTTTTTTCATCGAACCAACACTCAGCCAACACATGTAATAGTAATGACGCAACACAGGCCAGAGATATGGGAAACTTTACAACCAATGTAACAACAAAGAATATAATGGTGAGTGACAGGAGTATGGGAATCAGATATCGAAAGTAGAGTGTAATTACATTGATATGATTATGAGAAGTAATAATTTATGCTGTAAACGTCATCCAGTAAATAAATAATACTGTATCTCACACTGTTTGCTACAAATCAAATAAGTAAATTCAATATGGAAGGAATAACAGTAATAATGAACAATGTAACAATGAAAAATAGAACACTTCCACTGTAATAAAGATTCTCTACCAGTGTGACTGAAAGAAATTCGAGGTCAAAGTGAGATAAAAATCTCTCCCTCAACGTATAGTTGAAAATAATCAACGTCAGTGAGAATATTACGTAAACATTCGTGTTACATTCTAATAGACTTCACTTCTTTATAAAGTTAGTGCTGCTGAGGATGTCACTAAACGTACTGATGAAATGTCTACGACAAAATATCAGAGAACACCAATCCATCATCATTCTCATTTCAGAATCTTCAGAGGGATAATGCTAAGAAAAGTTTATGGTAAACACGAAAAAGGTCTGAACTTTCGTATAGCTAAGGCTTCAGTAAATCTAAAGGGTGTTTCAGAGTGAATCCTACGACCTTTTTCTATGATGCATTTACCTATGGAGAATAATGTTTGTCTGCCCACTGTATTCGTCGGATTATTTAAATGTAGAGTTTCATGATTGAGGTTAGTGTTCAAAAATACAATAAAAGGAGTGAGAAGGAGTTGCACAATAATCTATAAGACAATTCACTTAACCATAAAGTTAAGGGATGTAACATAGTAGAAATTGTTGATAGATACTGAATTGGGAGAAGGGTTAAGACCGTGATAAGATCAGAGATCGAGCGGATTTCTTCTGTATGCCTAGTTCAGGTGTAAACTGGTGAATCACCAAGCTTCGAAAGCTCACTACCTTAAACTATTCCTTTTAACTCTGTGAATGACATTAAGGCAAGATTCTTATGGAAATGTATAACCACAGTTGATCAAATGTTAAAGAGTTGAACTGCTGACTGATTTGGATCTTCCTGTGGGCAACCATTCGGGATAATTTTCGAAGATATGTTTAAAAAGTGTGCAGTTTGTAGAGCCTAAGTAACTATCTTCACAGGAGCAAGTAAACTTGTAGACGTATGTTTAAGTGACTCAAAGGGACTGCTTGTCTTAAAAAACCTTGGAATCATATACTGACAAAAGAATCTGATCTGTAGCTTAGCAGAGAAAAGTTTCTTTTGAATTTCGGGGTTTGTAAGGATTTAGTGATTGATTTCAAGCTTGTATTCACCATGGACTGACAACAGTTGGAGGAACATTGGAAACATGGGAACACTGGACAGCTGTTTCGTGGCCAGTATTTTACCATTCAGCCACTGGGTCAGTGAGATCCACTGATTCATATTTCCAACTTCTGTCAGTTCACGACATAGTGCGACCACCACCTAATGTCTTTGTTGAGTATTTGTCCTCAAAACCACTAGGTTTGCCTACCGGTAACGACTTCTCACTGGAACCTCGGGAATCACCTCTCGAAGCTAGTTACTAATGAGCACTGAATCCCCACAAACCCCAAATTCAATTGATCTAGTGCTGATTGGTTACTAACTTCAAGAGGTGATTCCTAAACTTCTAATGCGAAGTCGTGACCGGTAGGGCAAACCTGGTAACCATGAGGACAAATATTCAACGATGACACTGGGTGATGATTACACTATGTTGTGAACTGACAGAAATTGGGGATATGGACCATCGGATTCCGACGCAGTGGCTCAGTAGAAATGTTCTGGCCACGGGACCTGAAGGCCCTGAGTTCGATCCCTGGTGGGAGGGTGGGGTCATGGGTGTGCACTACTGAGGAGTCCCATACTAGGACGAAGCAGGTGCTTAGTGCTCTCAGGTTTCCAATGTTCTTCCGACTGATGTCAGTCTATGATGAATACCGACTTGAAAAGCCTCTTCCATAGTGATTTGGATTATCTTCGTCACTTCATGACTTAATGGGCATCATTCGTCGATGAATAAAGTAGGTTTTTGAAGTCCCAGAACGGTCGCTGCACAGATAACCTTCATTAGAAACGGAAATCTTCGGTCTTATTTCAAAGACTTCACTTACTTGTAACCGCGACTTACAGTTTCATCTCAATTTATTATCTTTATATGTCTTAATGCGTGTCGATTTCTTTGTAACCTTTAGGTATCATAACTTGTTTTGCTTTCTTTTTTTTTGTTGTTGTTGACAAAACAGGCATCAGATAGTGTTTACACAAGTGAATATTACTGTCATTCACTTCGTATGTCTGAAAGTATTGATGAAATTGATGTTGTTATCCGTCAACTGAACAGTTTTATGGACAAACTTCGTGGGCATGATACTGGTGGTGATGATGGTTAGTTCATCTTAGAGTTGAGCTTCATTTTAACACTTGTATTGTATATTTCCTCGTGTTTCTGAACATATCGAAGGGATAATTGATGCTGGAATGAAAATCTTGGTTAACAGTCAGTTGGTTGAACTATGCCTCAGATAGTCTTATTTGCTGTGTATCGAACTTCAAGTTAATTGTTACTTACTACATAATTTGTTAGTTTCTGAAAGATTTGCCTCAAATTGGACGCCCAACTTGTCGTTTCCCATTTAGGTTCCATTCGAGAGCCTGGCCTTGGCTCATGATGTCCACAAACGGTCTTCTCAGCATATGTCCAGTTAAATCCAATCCATCTCCACTTTCTTCCACTGCATATTTGTTGGGTGGTAGGTTCTTGGTTGGTTGGTTCGTTGCCAGCCTGATCTCCATCTTCAGTATCGAATGAGTGTAGGCAGCAACTGTTGATGTGATGTATATCTGCAGCTTGTTCGAAACGCTTTTGGTAACGCACCAAGTCTCTCAACCATCACACAGAAGCACTGCCTTACTTGACTGACATTAGTGATGAAAATCCGTATGTTGTTCACACTTTACACTGACTACAGTGCACTGCAGTAGATCTCCAGACTGATTGATTTCAGACTAATGCAGGAAGGCCTGTCTTGCTGTCTTTCTGATTCTCGCTTTGACATCCTCATCTGTGCCCCCACTTGTCGTTGAGATGATGGTGCCTAGGTAGGTAGATGAAAGAGAACTTCGTTTATATTTCTCCCATTGATGGTGATTGGTGTTTGTTATCGTTGTTGTTTGGTTGGTTGGTTGGTTGGTAATCTTCATCACCTCTGTCTTATCTACGTTCACCTGAAGAAAGTTCCATCTTCCTTCTCTGCCTTGCCTCTTCTGCCAAGTTGTTAGTTTTCGCCTGTAGGTCTTCGAGTTTGTGTGACGAGACATTGGAGGTGAATTATCGGCGGCGGTGAAATCCAAATCTTCTAGAATGTTTTCATCGGTCCAGCCAGCGTATCTCTCTCCTCACAGTTTGTTGCATGATCCAGTCGAGTCGACCATAATCAGGAAGATGATCGTGATAGTAGGTTGGAACCTTGTTTACTCCCGTCCCCTGTGTTCACTTGTAAGGCATGACTGAGCTTTACATTGTGAATCACTTGGCATGTAGCCTCATCATATAGCATATAGTTGCTGTTGAATGAGGTTGGTAAAGGTTTTTGGCACTAAAATCGTAGTGTTGAAGCGTCAGTTGCCAAATTACTTCTTGGTGGACGCTGTCGAAGGCCTTTTCAAAATCGATGAAGTTGAGGTAAATAGTTGACTGCTGTTCCTAACATGGTTATGCAGGTTTCCTTCCACATTTCTCTGACTGAGTTCTAATGTTCTTCTATATAGGTTTCCTCGGGGATTTTGATTAATGTCTCCCAGTCTTTTCCTGGTGACTGACGTGAAGATGTTATTTGTGATTTCGCCCTTCAGTTTGTGGATGTTACACTGTGGTCTATCATCAACTTCTTTGAAGGCTCTCAACTTGGTTTTGAAGGTTCTTTGCACTAAATAGTGAGTGGTGTGAACCTACAACTGCTCCTCTTCGTGATTTTGTGTCCAGTAGGCTGCATCTCCACTTTCTTTAGATTGAAAGTAAGTCGATCTAATTTTTAGTGTGTCCATCTGGTGAAATCCATGTCGCTTTGTGAATATCCTGTGTTTGTACACACTGCCTCCAATCACTAAATGCGCAGAAGTTTGAAAAGAGTTCTCCATTCTCATTCATTTCACAGAGTGCTTCTCGACCCATGATTGATTCTCTTCCTGTGTTGTCTGCTCCCAGTTTTGTATTCATGTCACCCATTAAAATTTTGATGTTACCAACTAGGTTTTGGTCTTGTCCATTACTGATTGCAGTTGTCAATAGAATTCCTCCTTCTTCTCTTGATCTGCATTATTTTTGGGTGTGTAGCGTAGCACTGTATAGTTGTGACTCTCCTTCCTTTTGAGTTTAACCTTGCTATCATGATGCTGGAGGAGGAGATTGGCTCCCTTTGCCTGAGAGAGAGGGATCCTTCGATGCTCTTCAAGGGGACATCATGAAAGCCACTCCTTAACTCAGTGTGGTCGTGGTTGTCTTCTGAGTGACAATATCGCAGTAGGTTGACAGTTTGAAGAGTCCATTTCCATTACATCTGCTCTCGCAGATTTGTAGTACTTCTATGCTATACCTTCTCATTTCTTTTGCAATTTGGGCAGCCTTACCGGCAGCTTCAAATATCGTGCGGACGTTCCATGTCCCTATGTTTACTTTCGCTTTCATCGAAACTAGAGAAGACACATCGACCAATTGGCTTCCCGAATGCTTTCACCAACCGGTGTCATTCCGTCTCTCTGATTTCAGCGACGAATAGGTTTGTATTTTGTATTTCGTCTGTGATTTGAAGTTTTATTAGCAATTGGATTGATTTTCTGGGGTAGGGTTGTTAGCCCTATGCTCGACCTTCCCTCTTTATCCTTGTTTAGGACCGACTAGTAACTAGTGAACTAGTAAACTAGGTGAGGTTAGATGAGGTACACAGTGGATATATTTAGGCCATTATGATCTGTTCCTAGCTACACTTCGTCTTAACCAGCAATCTACTTGGCAACTGTCATCAAATTACACTAAAGCCTAAGAATTCTGTTGATCAAATTGGTAGTCAGTCGAATCGAGGTGTTACATTAAAGTCACTCCAGGTTACAAACATCTCATGATAGACTCTGCCTTATTCGCATAGTCTGGAGTAATTGAAAAGCCACCTGTTCACAATCACCACCATGATAATATTGACCACTTTTCTAAAGGGCACTTTTCTTGTACAAAGTGGGTTGTTGCATGGGAAGGAACGCGCGTTATGAACGCTTTCTGATGTTTTTCATACGAAAACCTAACCTTTAAAATAATTACTATTGAATAACATATATGTAAGCCAACTAGTACACTTTCTTCACTTGTTATGTAATCTACTTATAAACTAGCAGTAAGATCCTGGACGTGCATATAATCCTATTTCGGACTCGTCAGCTGGATTTACCTGCACCCCAGTGATATTGTTCCTGGTGGGACCCGAACCTAATACCTATCGCTTAAAACACAAAAACGTCATCCACCAAGCCACCTACCAAGGTTAAAGCAGTCAGGTAGTGTCATTATTGTGGCATGTTGCTTACTGCACAAGCGTGTACACAGCTGATGAGTGCATTTCAAGTACAAAATTTCTCTTTAACTTTTTTCTTTCTTCTTCATTTTAAAGATGCACTGATTAAAGCACAACTTGGAAGCCTTGATTATGTTAGAAAAATTTGTTCAATCCGTCGAAGACAAATTCAAGAAGGTGTAGCTGTAAAAGTAGGTTAATGATATACTGTTATATGCTTATCAAATATCCTTCCTTCTTAATTGACAGCCTGAACGTGTATTACTCTATCACTTACAACCGGATATACGACTTTATGATATGTCATTTCAAGAGTTGATGTCTAACAGTGTTGCAGTTGTCAGCTTTCTAGGTAGGTTCGATATTCTTATTCTCTTTTTTCATAAGATTTCCATGCATTATATATATATATAATAGTGGGGAATATTTGTAGCTCCGGGTGGATGGTCTTGGTTGCATTGTGTTCTCTGAGCTGGGTTGTTTAATCGCGGAGACGCTTTCATCGTCTTTATAGACGACATCATCAGCTTCACCTCTAATCTTTCTGTTGTTTATCATTTTTCTTATTGGTTGATAGATCGGGTCTATGTCTATACATCTATTGATTGCTGATTGACTGACTGGCTGACGTGAATGTTAAGCTTCTAGGTATTCTCTGATATTCTTTGTGTTCCCTCTCTCCGTCAAAAATTCCTACATTGTCCAAATTGAATTCATGTCCATAGTTGCTATCCACATTCATTGAAATGAGTGATGAAATGTCATGTGTGACCTTTAATAGCCAGTTGGAGTTCATGTAGACGAAGTCGGAGAGGGCGACCACTTTGTCCAATATAGTGTTGACTACAGTTAGTTATCCCAGTTGATTTTGTAAATGATATTCAGTTTGTCTTCTTTGGTTGTTGCATCCTTTAGTCTGCATAATAGTGTTAGGAGGGAATTTGTTGGTTTATGAGCCACACCAATTCCAAGTGGTCTCAGCAATCTGCCGTGATTTCTGATATATCCTTTGTGTACAGTAGGACGATGCGTTTGTTGATTTCTGTCAATGACTTTGTAGTTGGTGATGCACGGGATAGGCATCTTCTGATAAAGTTTCGTGAGTAGCCGTTCTTCTTTAGGGTGGACATCAAGTAATCTTCTTTGTTTCTCCATGAAGTTGTTATGTTGCAGTGTGTTCTCGCCTCTTTTGAATAGAGTCTGCACGCAACTAATTTTGTGTGTTGTTGGGTTGTTGCTATTGTAGTTGAGGATTTGGTCAATGTATGTTGGCTTTCTATACACTCGGGTTTCCAACTTTCCTGCATTTGTACTGACTGGAGCATCCAGGAATGGTAGTTGGTTGTTCCACTCCTTCTCCATTGTGAATTTGATGTCATTGAGAACATTGTTGATCAAACTGTTGGTGTTTTCTATATCATCCTTTCTGATGATGACAGAAGTGTCGTTCTTATAGCAAATCCAAATTTTTGGTTTGATCACAGGTAGGATACTGGCTTCCAGTCTCTGAATCACAGCTTCTGAAATTAGTCCGCATATCGGTGATCCCATTGGAGTTCCTTTCATCTGTTTGTATATTTTGTCGTTGAATTGAAAGTATATTGTCATACAAAGGTCGATGAGTTCCATCAGACTTGAACATTTGAGTTTTGTGCGTTCTGAAAGGTTTTTGTCTTCATTGATCAGGAGGGATATCGTTTCCTTGGCCAATTGAGGTTCGATGGATGTGTATAGTGCTGTGACATCAAAGGATACCATTAATTCGTCGTTTTCTATGTTAATGCTTTTGATCCTTTCTAAGAATTCCACTGGTGACTTATTGGAACGTATGCATGATCGAACAAGGTGTTTCAGTTTTCTCAAAGTTCTCATGATATTTTGTATGGTGGAATTCCCGGAAGTGAGACTATTGGTGGTCTAGGGATGTCTGGTTTGTGTAGTTTTGGTCTGCCGTAGAACTGAGGAAGGATGAGTACATTCGATTTCATTCGCCATTCGTCTTGCTTTGTTATTTCCTCTGCTTTGAGGAGTTTGTTCAAGGTCTCATTGATCTGGTTGTCAAACTTTTGGATGGGGTTGGTTTCAAGTGGTTGATACACATTTTCATCTTTGAGTAAATCTCTACCTTCTTGATATAGTCTTCTCTATCCATGACTACCGTAGTGCATCCTTTGTCTGCTGAAAGTATAATGATATCTTTCCTACTTTTCAGTCTTTTCAATGTTTTCTGTTCTTTAGTGTTCATCTGAGCATGATTTCTCTTCTGCCTGGTTAGTGGTACGATTGTTTGCCGTATTTCTTGTTAAGTTATCTCATTCAATCCTGATGTTTTAAGTGACGGTTCTAATGTCGCAAAGAATTCTGGTTTCGAGGCATATCTTGTGTTGTAATTCAATCCTTTTTGAAAGAGATGTTCTTCTATTTTCGTTAGTGGTTGTTTCGATAAGTTGGGAACGCAGTCGTTTGTTTCTTCGGTTGTAGGTGATTCTGAGATTTTGAGTAGCTTTTTCCTGAGGACGTTTATTCGTTGTTATTCTTATCGTCTACCATCTACCAACCAATAAGAAAAATGATAAACGACAGAAAGATCAGAGGTGAAGCAGAGGAACACCTAACAGGAAAATCTACGCAGTCAATGGCATAACAATCGAAGGAAACAACCAATCATAGACCACATCGTTAGAGCAAGCCACTAAATCACTCACTCATGGAGAGATACTGACAGCTCACAATTCATCCTGAAGTTAGTGCTGATGATGTCGTCTATAAAGACGATGAAAGTGTCTCCACGATTAAACAACCGAGCTCAGAGAACACAATACAACCAAGAAATGCACCGCTGGATATTTTCTCGAATAATTTAGTTGATTTATTCCTTCGCTTCTTCACGTTCATTGCCATTACATTATTAGTTGAATCAGACATACAGACAGACCGATGAAATCAACAGAAAATCTTCCACACAGGTGGATTGGCTTAAGTTGCCACACTTCACATTAACCTACAAAGAAAAGATGCATAGAAAACAATTGATATCAAAGTAGACAAACGTGTATGAAAGGAGAAACAGTTTAAAGACAGATTACTCCAGATTCTCAAGCTTTAGAAAATCGTGGCTGATTTTCAGCCATATCACTTACAGTCTTCAACCACTTGTTCTTATTATCTCGATGATCCTAGCCAGATAGTCTACACTGCGTCATAGTTAAGTGCTGCTTTATACGATCACAGTTAAGATAAATTCAAACTCTAGTGCACCTTTATATGAATCGAAAAGATGTCTAGATTACCGGTAACTGACATCTGTGTTAAAATCTTATGTTTTTGTATGACTTTATGAAACGAAATGCGCGTCCTGGATTCTTCTGCTAGCCACAACCAACCAATTTATCATAATTAACATTCAGCCAATATTGAGGTATCCGCATAGGAGCCCATACGCCAATAGAGGTCGAACAATTCGATCCAACAAAACAAACAACGGAGAATAATAAGTATGTCAATAAATAGTAATAACTACTACCCGTTGTACAAGAAGTGGCTATCGTTCCTCTGTGGCATAGTGGATGATGCCTCGGCGTATGAAACGGTGGGTACGAGTTTCGTGTCCCAGTGGGAACAAAATCACTGGGGTGCAGGTACATCCAGCTGATGAGTCCTAAATAGGACGAAACGCGCGTCCTGGGTTTTTCTGCTACCCACAACCAACCAATTTATCATAATTAACATTCAGGCAATATCAAGGCATCCACATAGGAGCCCATATACCAATAGAGGTCGAACAATTCGATCGAACAAACTAACAACGGAGAATAATAAGTATGCCAATAAATAGTGATAACTTTATGAAACTGTTAAATATAACCAGATGAATATATATAGTCAAAAGCATAGCTGTTAAGCATAAATTAATGTGAATCTTAACATTTTCAAATCAGTTTATATGTTCATCTGGTAAAAAAGTTTTGTACATTTTACTATGAAATTATAAATATTTGGAAAAAGGGTGTTAGCGAAACATTTCATGCCTAGCCAGTCATCATTTTCCCTACGACTTCCATGTAAATGAAGTGTGAATTTATACTGCAGTTTTGTGCCACTTAGCCTGGTGAAACTATCTCCTCGAATAAATGTATCTCTTTATTGATTTTTTGAAGTGTTATTTTTATAACTGGAATTCCTCCAAAAGCACTGAAAACAGACGCAAAGACAACAGCGGACATGCTCACACCACTATTGCAGAAGGTTTGGAAGGAAGAAATAGTACCTGCAGATTGGAAGAAGGGGTACTTTGTCAACTCTCAAAGAAGGGAAACCTAAGCCTTTGCAAGAACTGGCGAGGAATCATGCTCCTGTCCACCCAAAGCAATCAAAATATTAAGCCGCATCAACCTGCAGAGTCTAAAGGATGCACTGGATTCAAAATTATGACCGGAACAGGCTGCCTGTCTTCAGGAAGAACAAATCGTGTGCGGATCAAATTGCGACGCTACGCATCATCATACAAGAGATCACAGAATGGCAGTCAACTCAAACTCAGTTTCATCGATTTTGAAAAGCACTTCGACAGCGTCGACCGACAAGTAATTTGGCAGCTGCTTCAACACTACGGAAAGCCACAAACCTTTACCAACCTCATTCAACAACTATATGAAGATGCCCCATGCGAAGTGATCCACAAGGGAAAGCTCAGTGACACCTTTGAAGTGAAGACAGGAGTAAGACAAGGCTGTCATCTTCCTGGTTGTGGTGGACTGGATTATGCAGCAAACTGTGAGGAGTGAGAAGACAGGCATATGCTGGATCGCAGAAAAGATCCTACAAGATGCAGATTTCGCCAATGACTTGTTTCTAATGTCACACAAAATTCAAGATCTATAGCAAAATCCAACAAGTTGACAGAAGTGGTAGGGCAGCGAAGATGGGACTGACTTCACATGAACATAGAGAAGGTAGAGGTGATGATGATACTCAACCAACACCAACACCACCAACAACAACAACAACGAAAACAACAACATGCTCCAGTCACCATCAACGGGAGAAACTTAAAGGAAGTAGCCTCTCCCACCTATCCAGGCAAGGCAGCATCGTTTCAACTACAGGCAACACAGGCACAGACAAGCACGTCAAAGCCAGTCAGGATCGGAAAGACAGCAAGACAGATGTTCATTAACCTGAAACCAGTGTAGTGTGGAGATCGACTGCACTCAGCATAAAGCATCAACAACATCTGGATTTTCAACACCAATTCAGTCAAGTCAATGCTTCTATATGGTCGAGAGACTTGGCGCCTTACGAAAAGCATTTCCAACAAACTACACACATGCATCACATCAACAACTGCCGCCTACACTGGTTCGATACTGAAGATGGAGATCAGATGGCCAGAATAATGGGAATAAGCAACAAGGAACTCTGGCTGGCTGGCTGGCTGGCTGACTGACTTGGAAGGAACCAACCGAGAACCTGTCGCTCAACAAATCATGCAGTAGAAGGAAGTGGAGATTGATTGGGCATAGACGGAGAAGGCCGAGTCAGGACATCACGTGCTATGTCAGGTTGTCGAGTGAAATCCAGAGGGGAAACAATGAGTTGGTCGTCTGAGCCAAGGGTGACATGGAGGAGATAGTGTGAGGAAGAAATGAGAGGTTGTGGGCTGTCGTGGTACCAGGTGGAAAAGACTGCGTAGAACAGAGTGCAGTTGAGGCGTGCTACTGAAGCCCTATGTTCCACTAGGAACCCAAAGAAAAAATGATAAAACAATAATAATAATTTGTTATAACCGTATTGAAGTGAAGACATCACACCCACCTATCTCCATTGGTTCATACTAGGCAGGAATGTCCGATTTCCCTGTTCTCCTTCAACTTTGCCATGGATAAGATTCTTGAGAGATGCGTAAAGGAATTGCGTCATTTTAGTGTTGTAGACCTGTTACCAAGGAAAGACTTTTGGATGTTAAGTATATAAATGATATCGTTTAATTGTGCACTTACATACAGGCTACTGAAATCGTATTCAATCAGTTGACGATGGGTGTCCTTAAGTACGGTATGTGGTTTTTACTGTCGAAGTGCAAAGTGCTACTACAAGATTCGCAGGAGCTTTCGTATGGACTAACCCTTGGTGAAAGTTTTAAACAACTTTGCATACTTAAGTAGTTGTGTAAGTAATGGAATTTCCAACCGTTTTCCAAAAGCCAGAGTAGAATACTCCAATCTGGGTCATCTTTTGAACTATCGTAACTTTAAACTTGCTATAAGAAATAAGATAAACAAGCGTTGATGGCGGCAGTTCTGCTCTACACCTGGGAAACCTGACCTCTCTGAGAGAGGATGTTTGACGACTCTGGATGTACTATCATCGTTTTCGCATCCTGCAGTATGTGCTTGGGTGTGATGGTTATCGTCATGCATTACTTATGAACATCTTGATGCGCTAGCTTCGGTGTCTTGGATATATGTTACACATTGCTGTTCCAGTGGCTCCCAAACTACTCACCGTTTGTTTACTCTGAAATTGTTTGGAAGAAGTGGCATCTGTATGTGCCCTACAACTCCCTAGATGCGTTTAGAGAGATTATGCTACTCCGTGATTTGAAACGATAACAGACAAGGTTCGCAATCTAAACTGATGGTGACCATGATACAGCTTCCTTGTATTTTCTTTTACTAAAAGGTGAAAACAGCGAATGCCTTTTTCGTTGTTTCTTCGATAACTGATCTCTGCCTTTATTTCCATTCTTTCTTGTTTTCTCTGTCTTCATCATGTTACTTTATCATCCTGTTTGACCCATCTGTTGGTGCCTATGTTGTACCAGGTTTGTATTCCGATAGTAATTATAATAATAATGGTAATAGTAATAGTAGTATCAATAATAATAATAATAATAATAATAATAATAATAATAATAATAATAATAATGTTCTGGATATGTGCAAAGTAATACTAAAAGTTACATCCTGTTGATGGTCACGGTGATGAAGGTGGTTTAACAAATTTCTTTTGAATACAAAGTTTAGGTTTGTAAAAGTAAATTGGAACCCCCTGTGTTATATGAAGTGAGCAAATGCTTTTCTGTCATGCATTTGATGTCCAGTGTCAACTAAAGTGTGCAAGTATAGAACCCTTTATTATTCTTTTCTATCCCTTATTCAATCATGATGGATGGTGCTCTGAAATTCGACGATTGATATGCCTCATTGTAACATCCAATGTAACTAGCTCCGGAGAAGCAATCGGACTGACAAATGCACATGGAAGTAATAGAATCAGGCAGTTTGTCTTTATGTCTTGCACCTAGAATTGCACAGTTGTAGATGATCTGACTCGTATCTTGTAACTCGGTTAGCAGAGTAGCAGTGCGGTAACCCGACGGTTTCTGATTTGAATTCCTATTATTATTATTATTTATTAGTCCCTTGGGTTCCTAGTGGAACATAGGGCTTCAGTAGCACGTCTCCATTCCACTCTCTTCTCTGCAGTCTTTTCAACCTAACTCCACAACAGCCCACAACCTCTCATTTCTTCCTCACACTTTCTCCTCCATGTCATCCTTGGCTCAGATGACCAACTCATCGTTTCCCATACGGGTTCCAATCGAGGGCCTAGCCTGTCACGTGATGTCCCCAAATGGTCTTGTAAGTGCATGCCCAATCCATCTCCACTTCCTTCTACTGCATGATTTGTTGAGCGACAGGTTCTCGGTTGGTTCCTTCCAAGTCAGTCAGCCAGCCAGCCAGCCAGCCAGAGTTCCTTGTTGCTTATTCCCATTATTCTGGCCATCTGATCTCCATCTTCAGTATCGAACCAGTGTAGGAGGCAGTTGTTGATGTGATGCATGTGTGTAGTTTGTTGGAAATGCTTTTCGTAAGGCGCCAAGTCTCTCGACCATATAGAAGCATTGATTTGACTGAATTGGTGTTGAAAATCCAGATGTTGTTGATGCTTTATTCTGAGTGCAGTCGATCTCCACACTACACTGGTTTCAGGTTAATGAACATCTGTCTTGCTGTCTTTCCGATCCTGACTGGCTTTGACGTGCTTGTCTGTGCCTGTGTTGCCTGTAGTTGAAACGATGCTGCCTTGCCTGGATAGGTGGGAGAGGCTACTTCTTTTAAGTTTCTCCCGTTGATGGTGACTGGAGCATGTTGTTGTTTTCGTTGTTGTTGTTGTTGGTGGTGTTGGTGTTGGTTGGGTATCATCATCACCTCTACCTTCTCTATGTTCATGTGAAGTCAGTCCCATCTTCGCTGCCCTACCACTTCTGTCAACCTGTTGGATTTTGCCTATAGATCTTGAATTTTGTGTGATATTAGAAACAAGTCATTGGCGAAATCTGCATCTTGTAGGATCTTTTCTGCGATCCAGCATATGCCTGTCTTCTCACTCCTCACAGTTTGCTGCATAATCCAGTCCACCACAACCAGGAAGATGACAGCCTTGTCTTACTCCTGTCTTCACTTCAAAGGTGTCACTGAGCTTTCCCTTGTGGATCACTTCGCATGGGGCATCTTCATATAGTTGTTGAATGAGGTTGGTAATGGTTTGTGGTGTTCCATATTGTTGGAGCATCTGTTGATTTGAATTCTACTGCGGCCTAAATAAGAAACAGTCGCACAAAATTACAATCATGTACCTTTCATTAATGTTTAGTGAATTTATTTCAAAATTAGAAATCATGAGAGTATCACAGGATGATCGCTACTGGTTGTGATTATGTGCCGTATATATGATAATGCCCTTAGGAACCATGACGTTGTGGGGCTTCTGGATAATGATCTGTTAGTGGGGTTGCTAAGTCAACACAGCCTATCTTTGACATAAATTGAGTGTTTCTCTCCACTTCCAACCAGTTACAGAGTTAGAGAACAGGAAACATCGTAGAAGTTACTAAGACAACATGCTTAAAACGTATCTTGATCACAAGATTCTTTTCTCCCTATTGCAAGTCGATTTTTATGGAAAAAAATGTATTTCAAGTACTTTGATAGCTTCTCATATAACAACTCGGTGTATATATGCCACTAATAAGTTTTAAAACTATTTAGAATCTATGTATGAGGAAATATTCTTTACTGATCGCTTAGGCTTTACAATTAAAGGTTTTCACTTAAAACCAAAATGGTAGTCGATATCGATGATTCACCAAAATTCGTTCACATTTGTGAAGTTCAATTCGTGATTTTTTTTACCTTATACCTTTTTCTTTCTGAATCTCAACTTTTACCTTCATTTTCTCCTGAATGTTCCTTATCACTGTCGATAGTATTACTTTCAATTCGATGGCGTTCCACTAATTGAATCTCGTATGTAGTTACCGCTGATTGTCTAATCTCTGTCTGCTTTTCAGCTATTGAATTTGGTGATTTAGAGATTTTTTCAAGTTGGTATTCATTATGGACTGACATCATTTGGAGGGATATTTGAAGACCTGGAAGCGCTGGGCAGCTGTTTCGTCTTAGTATGGGACTCCTCAGTAGTATGCACCCTTGACCCCCTAACCAACCACGAATCGGGCCCAGCACCTTTAGGTTCCATTTCCAGCATGGGCTCACGGGTGCGCTCTGCTGAGGAGTCGTATACTAGGACGAAACAGCTGTTCACTCTTCTCAGGTTCCACTGTTCCTCCAATTGGTATCAGTCCATGATGAAATACCAAACCCTCAAATTCAACTGATCTAGCGCTCATTAGTGACTAGTTTCGAGAGATGATTCCTGAAGTGCGAATGAGAAGTCATGACCAGTGTGGCAAAACAGGTGGTCATGAGAACAAATACTCGGCAAAGATATTAGGTGATAGTCCTGCAGGTGCTGGGTTCGATCCCCGGGGGGGGTGGTATGGTGGATGCGCACGGCTGAAGAGTCTTCTACTGAGACAAACCAGCGGCTTGGTTACTTAATAAATCCTACTGATTTACTCACTTGTTCAATAAGGATATTGATTAACAGTATTTCAGTAGTATCATAAGATCAAGTCCTACAATGTTGTTTTAAAATTCTCTTTTATTATTGTAGACTTTTTAACTTCTATTCGGAAGCACACATTACTTCGATCATATTTGAATTGTGTGGTAAGCAAGTTTTAATTCAAATTCACGTATAAATGAGCTTGTCTTTTAACATAGATTTGGAACAGGGGAAAAATTTTTTTTTATACGATGATTTTATCTACTGAAAGATTAATTTGGAAAGGTTTCAAGGTTACCAAACTAAAGTATGTCATCAGTGGATGAAATCCCTGACTATTTAATCTGAGCTGTGTACGCTAGATGCAGACTATCTAGCTGGGATCCTTAGACAATAGGAATCAGGGTTTTGAGAACTCTTAATGAAGGAGATGAAAATGGAGGACAATGAATATATTCTATAGCTTAAATATTTACACTAACCACCTTTACCTTCATATTGTTTATTCTCTCATACTAACCTCGTCTACTTTGATATCAATCTTGCTATACTACTGTGAATTTGGTGATACGCTTGTATACACAACATTCTTCGTAGTCTATCTGTCGAACATAGTCTGTTAGTTAACCTAGATGATAAGCGTTAGCGAAGTAACGGTATGAACTAGGCACTAAGCCCTATGTATTTGAAATCACTCTAGTTCTGTGGTAATGAAATTTTCATACTAGATGATAATGATTGAAGATGAAATGAAAATTTAGATCGCGGCCGGATTCGAACCAGCGACCACCGGTCATTTAGATAACTGGTTATTTCAAAGTGAAAATAATCAATACGCTATAAAATTTCTAGGAGAATAAATAGACTGTATTGATGCAGAGCTTCATATGCAAATGCATCACTTTAGTATACAAAGAATTACTGAATAGATAGAAAAGATTAATGATCCGATTGCAAGTCTAAATATTTGTCGAAATGTCTTGGTTTCCTGTATTTCTTCATACTGAATTTACCTTCAGTTGTTATTTAGATGAGATAATCTAAAATGTTTAAAGCGCTGTCCTTAGATTCTATTTCAATGGAATCGAAAATAGGATTGATATATTCTAAAAATGTCTCTTGGTTTAATTCCTTATGAATGACAAATATCTATACTGGAGGATATTTGTAGCTCAACTGGATGGTCTTGGTTGTATTGTGTTCTCTGAGCTCGGTTGTTTAATCCTGGAGACACTTTCATCGTCTTTATAGACGACATCATGAGCACTAACTTCAGGATGAATTGTGAGCTGTCAGTATCTCTCCATGAGTGAGTGCGTTAGTGGCTTGCTCTGACGATGTGGTCTGTATTATTATTATTAGTCCCTTGGGTTCCTAATGGAACATACCGCTTCAGTAGCACGTCTATAGTGACCTCTGTTCTCTGAGATCTTTTGAACCTGGTTCCACGACAGCCCACAACCTCTCATTTCCTCCTCCCACTATCTACTCCATGTCACCCTCAGACGCCCAACTCGTCGCTTCCCATGGGGATTCCACTCGAGTGCCTGGCCTGACGCGTGATGTCCACAGTCGGCCTTCTCAGTGCATGCCCAATCCATCTCCACTTCCTCCTGCATATTTGTTAGGTGATAGGTTGTGTTGGTTCGTCCCCAGAGTTCCTTGTTGCTTATTCCCATTATTCTGGCCATCTGATCTCAGTAGCGAGCCAGCGTAAGCACTTGTTGATGAATGTCTGTAGTTTATTGGAAATCCCTTTCGTGACGCACCAAGTCTCTGAGTCATACAGAAGCACTGACTTGACGTTGGTGTTGAAAATCCGGATCTTGTTCCACATGCTGAGTGCAGAAGATCTCCACACTGATTTCAGACTAATGAATGCCTGTCTTGCTGTCTTTCCGATTCTGACTTTGACATCCTCGTCTGTGCCGCGGCCACCTGTAGTTGAAACAGTGCTTCCTAGATAGGTGAAGGAGGTAGCTTCCTTAAAGTTTCTCCGTTGATGGTGACTGGAGTTTGTTGTTGTTGTTGTTGGTGCGGTATCTTCATCACCTCTGTCTTCTCTGTATTCACTGAAGTCCTGTCTTCGCTGCCCTGACTCTTCTGTCAACTTGTTAGTTTTCGCCTGTAGATCTTCAAGTTTATGTGACATCAGGCACAAGTCATCATGGCGAAATCCAAGTCTTCTAGGTTCTTTTCCGCAGTCCAGCCAGAGTATCCCCCTCTTCTCACAGCTCCCCACTGTTTGCTGCATGATCCAGTCCAGTCGACCACAATCAGGAATATCATGAGGGGTAGTAGACAACCTTGTTTCACTCCTGTCGTCACTTCAAAATCATCATTGAGCTTCCCATTGTGAATTACTTGGCTGGTATGTGGCGTCTTCACATAGTTGTTGAATGAGGCGGATAAAGGTTTGCGGTACTCCGTAGTAATGAAGCAGTTTCCAAATTACCTCGCGGTCGACGCTGTCAAAGGCCTTCTCAAAGTCGATAAAGTTGAGGTAGAGAGCTGATGCCATTCTATGCTCTGTTCTATGATGATGCGTGGCGTAACGTTGCAATTTGGTCCGCATATGATTTGTACTTCTTGAAGCCTGCCTGTTCCGGTCGTAGTTTTGAATCCAGTGCATCCTTTAGCCTCTCCAGGATGATGCGGCTTAATATTTTGCTTGCTTTGGGTGGACAGGAGAGTGATTCCGCACCAGTTCTTGCAAACACTGAGGTCTTCGGCAGTTTGACAAGGTAAGCCTTCTTCCAATCACTAGCCAGGTACCTTCTCTTCCTTCCACACCTTCTGCAATATTGGTGTGGTGTGAGCATGTCCGCTGTTTTGATTGTTATGCCAATGGCTGTATAGATTTTCCTGTTGTGCATCGTCATACCGTACATTAATAATATATCAGAAATCATGACAAGATTACTGAAACCATTTGCAATTGGTGTGGCTCATAAACCAACAAATTCCCTCCTAACACTATTATGCGGACGAAAGGATACAACAACCAAAGAAGATAAACCGAATATCATTTACAAAATCAACTGGAATAACTAACTTTAGTCAACACACCACATTGGACAAAGTGGCCACCCTCTTCACCTTCGTCTACATCAGCACCAATACGCTATTAAACCTCACACACGACATTTCGTCACCCATCTCAATGCATGTGGATAATAACTATGCACATGAATTCAATTTTGACAATGTAGAAATGTTGGACAAAGAGAAGAAACACAAAGAATATCAGAGAATTCCTAGCAACCTGGCATTCAGGTCAGTCAGCAATCAACAGTTGTGTATAGACATAGATCCAATCTATCAACCAATAAGAAGAATGCTAAACGAGAGAAAGGTCAGAAGTGAAGCAGAGGAAAATCTATACAGTCATTAGCATAACAACAGAAGGAAACAACCAATCACAGACCACATCGTCAAGGCAAGCTACTAAAAGACTCAATTCATATTGAAGTTAGTGCTGATGATGTCGTCTATAAAGACGATGAAATCGTCTCCACGATTAAACAACCCAGCTCAGAGAACACAATACAACTAAAAAATATCTTTAACAAATTCTTGGTCGGTAATTAGACACTTAAGTCTGCTGCTTCCAAAGTTTTCATATAGATATTAATAATAATTAGAGATACTGATGCACCTATTGCAACTCCATTTGACTGATAGTGTATTCTCTCTTTCTCTAAACATCAAATATGTAGATTCTAAGCATAGTTTCATCGATTTTATAATATCCTCTGTTGAAAATCGACTCTCAGATATTAGTATTATTTGTCCTAGTGGAACATAGGGCTTCAGTAGCACGTCTCCATTTCACTCTCTTCTCTGCAGTCTTTTCAACCCACCTCCACAACAGCCCACAACCTCTCATTTCTTCCTCACATTATCTCCTCCATGTCACCCTTGGCTCAGATGACCAACTCATCGTTTCCCATACGGGTTCCACTCGACGGCCTAGCCTGTCACGTGATGTCCCCAAATGGTCTTCTCAGTGCATGCCCAATCCATCTCCACTTCCTTCTACTGCATGATTTGTTGAGCGACAGGTTCTCGGTTGGTTCCATCCAAGTCAGTCAGCCAGCCAGCCAGCCAGCCAGAGTTCCTTGTTGCTTATTCCCATTATTCTGGCCATCTGATCTCCATCTTCAGTATCGAGCCAGTGTAGGCGGCAGTTGTTGATGTGATGCATGTGTGTAGTTTGTTGGAAATGCTTTTCGTAAGGCGCCAAGTCTCTCGACCATATAGAAGCATTGACTTGACTGAATTGGTGTTGAAAATCCAGATGTTGTTGACGCTTTATGCTGAGTGCAGTCGATCTCCACACTACACTGGTTTCAGGTTAATGAACATCTGTCTGCTGTCTTTCCGATCCTGACTGGCTTTGACGTGCTTGTCTATGCCTGTGTTGCCTGTAGTTGAAACGATGCTGCCTTGCCTGGATAGGTGGGAGAGGCTACTTCCTTTAAGTTTCTCCCGTTGATGGTGACTGGAGCATGTTGTTGTTTTCGTTGTTGTTGGTGGTGGTAGTGGTGTTGGTGTTGATGTTGGTTGGGTGTCATCATCACCTCTACCTTCTCTATGTTCATCTGAAGTCAGTCCCATCTTCGCTGCCCTACCACTTCTGTCAACTTGTTGGATTTTGCCTATAGATCTTGAATTTTGTGTGACATTAGAAACAAGTTATTTGTGAAGTCTAAATCTTGTAGGATCTTTTCCGCTGTCCAGCGTATGCCTGTCTTCTCACTCCCCGCAGTTTGTTGTATGATCCAGTCCACCACAGTCATTATTTGTAGGTGCGTAGCATTTTACGATTGTGACTTCCGTTCATTTTGAGTTGAACTTTGCTATCATGATCCTGGAGGAGATTGGATCCCATTGCATGACAGAGAGCCTTCGATGCTTTTCAAGGGGACATCGTGATAGCCACTCCAAAACTCAATGTGCTCATGGTTGTCATCTGCGTGACCGGAGTAGATTATTGACTCTCCAGTTGACAGTTTGGAGAGTCCACTTTCATTCCACCTGCTTTCGCAGATTCCAAGCACCTATATGCCATACCTTGTTATCTCTTGTGCAATCTGGGCATCCTTAGTAGATTCATACGTGGTGCGGACATTCCATGTCCCTACGTTTACTTTCGCATTCA